ATGAACCGCACGGGCGGGCCCCACCAATCTGCCCCGGGCCGATGTCTCTTTCTCCACCGGCACGAAGGTGATCGACGCGGGGACCCGGCGACGCTCATCCGAGGCGCGACGGACCCGCAAATTTGAGCCAAACATCACAGGTCAGTCACTACCGCGACATCCCTGATGATGAAATGAATCATGGCAAATCACATAACAACAACACCACTACCACCAAACAACAAGCACAAGAATAAGAACAAGAACAACAAGACCACTACCACCAAACAACAAGAACAATAATAAGAACAAGAACAAGAACAAGAACAACAACAAGAACAATAACACCACTACCACCCAAACACAAGAACAGGAACAATAACAATAACACCACTACCAACAATCAAAAAGAACAAGAACAAGAAGAACACAACTACCAACAAACAACACAAACAAGAACAAAAACAAGAACACCACTACCACCAAACAGCAAGAACAAGAACAAGAACAATAACAGGAACAAGAACAGGAACAAGCACACCACCACCACCACCACCGAAAAACAAGAATAATATCAGTAGCAATACCGCTAAGAATAACACCACTACCAACAAACAACACGAACAAGAACAAGAACAACCACCAAACAACAAGAACAAGAACACGAACAAGACACCACTACCACCAAACAACAAGAACAAGAACAAGAAGAAGAAGAAGAACAAGAAGAACAAGAAGAACAAGAATAACAAGAAGAAGAAGAAGAACAAGAACAAGAACAAGAACAACAACAACCACAACCACAACCACAACCACAACAACAACAAGAACAACAACAACAACACCACCGCCAACAACAACAACAACCACAACCGCAACAACAATAACAACAACACCCCGAGCACCAAACAAAAATACACCAACAACAACAAGAATAACATCACCACCACTACCAACCAACACCACCAACAACAACAACAATAACAAGAGCAACAACACTACAACCAAACAACAACAAGAACAACAACAAGAACAACAACAAGAACAACAACACGGCCACCAACAACAACAAGAACAAGAAGACACATAAGAACAAGAACAACAATGACACCACCAACAACAACAACAAGACAAAAAAAAGAACAAGATCAACAACGACACCAGCACCACCAACAACAACAAGAAGAACAAGAACAACAACAGCACCGCCAACAACAACAAGAACAAACACAAGAACAATACCATGAACATCTACAACAACAACAACAACAGCAAGACCAACAACAACAGTAACAATAATAACAACAACACCCTACCACCAAAGAACAAAAACACCAACAGCAATAACAACAACAAGAACATCACCACCACTACCACCCAACATCACCAACAACAACAAGAACTACAATAACAACAACGCTCCTGCCAAACAACAACAAGAACAAGAACAAGAACAAGAACAAGAACAACAACAACAACAACAACCGCAACAACAAGAACAAGGACAAGGACAAGGACAACAACACCACTACCAGCAAACAACAAGAACAAGAACAAGAACCAGAACAAGAACAAGTACAAGAACACCACTACCACCAAACAACAAGAACAAGAACAATAACAATAACAATAACAACAACACCACTACCACCAAACTACACGCACACGAACAAAAAACAATAACAACAACACCACTACCACGAAACAAATGCACAAGAACAAGAACAAGAACAACAACACAACTACCACCAAACAGCAAGAACAATAACAAGGACAGGAACAAGAACACCACTACCACCAAACAACAAGAACAAGAACAACAACAGCACTACCACCAAACAACAAGAACAAGAACAAGTACAAGAACAAGAACAAGAACACCACTACCACCAAACAACAAGAACAAGAACAAGAACATGAACAAGAACAACAACACCACTATTACCCAACAACAAGCACAAGCACAAGAACAAGAACAAGAACATCAACACCACTACCACCAAACAGGAAGAACAAGAACAAGAACAAGAACAAGAACAACAACACCACTACCAACAAACAACAAGCACGAGAACAAGACCAAGACCAACAACACCACCACTATCACCAAACAACAAGAACGAGAACAAGAACAAGAACAAGAACAAGAACAAGAACAAGAACAAGAACACCACTGCCACCAAACAACAATATCAAGAACAATAACCAGAACAAGAACAATAAAAAAACACAACACCACTGCCACCAAGGACAAGAACAATAATAAGAACAATAACAAGAACAAGAACAACAACACCCCGAGCACCAAACAAAAATACACCAACAACAACAAGAAGAACATCACCACCACTACCAACCAACACCACCAACAACAACAGTAACAAGAGCAACAACACTACAACCAAACAACAACAAGAACAACAACAAGAACAACAACACGGCCACCAACAACAACAAGAACAAGAAGACACACAAGAACAAGAACAACAATGACACCACCAACAACAACAACAAGACAAAAAAAGAACAAGATCAACAACGACACCAGCACCACCAACAACAACAAGAAGAACAAGAACAACAACAGCACCGCCAACAACAACAAGAACAAACACAAGAACAATACCATGAACATCTACAACAACAACAACAGCAAGACCAACAACAACAGTAACAATAATAACAACAACACCCTACCACCAAACAACAAAAACACCAACAGCAATATCAACAACAAGAACATCACCACCACTACCACCCAACATAACCAACAACAACAAGAACTACAATAACAACAACACTACCGCCAAACAGCAACAAGAACAAGAACAAGAACAAGAACAAGAACAAGAACAACAACAACAACAACAACAACAACAGCAACAACAACAACAACCGCAACAACAAGAACAAGGACAAGGACAAGGACAACAACACCACTACCAGCAAACAACAAGAACAAGAACAAGAACCAGAACAAGAACAAGTACAAGAACACCACTACCACCAAACAACAAGAACAAGAACAATAACAATAACAATAACAACAACACCACTACCACCAAACTACACGCACACGAACAAAAACAAGAACAACAACACCACTACCACGAAACAAATGCACAAGAACAAGAACAAGAACAACAACACAACTACCACCAAACAGCAAGAACAAAAACAAGGACAGGAACAAGAACACCACTACCACCATTCAACAAGAACAAGAACAACAACAGCACTACCACCAAACAACAAGAACAAGAACAAGTACAAGAACAAGAACAAGAACACCACTACCACCAAACAACAAGAACAAGAACAAGAACATGAACAAGAACAACAACACCACTATTACCCAACAACAAGCACAAGCACAAGAACAAGAACAAGAACATCAACACCACTACCACCAAACAAGAAGAACAAGAACAAGAACAAGAACAAGAACAACAACACCACTACCAACAAACAACAAGCACGAGAACAAGACCAAGACCAACAACACCACTACCACCAACCAACAAAAGCAACAACAAGAACAAGAAAAATAACAAAACCACGAACAAGAACACTACTACCACCACACAACAAGAACAAGAACAAGAACAAGAACAAGAACAAGAACAAGAACAAGAGCAAGAACCAGAACAACAACACCACTATCACCAAACAACAAGAACGAGAACAAGAACAAGAACAATAACAAGAACAAGAACAAGCACACCACTGCCACCAAACAACAATAACAAGACCAATAACCAGAACAAGAACAGTAAAAAAACACAAACAACAACACCACTGCCACCAAGGACAAGAACAATAATAAGAACAATAACAAGAACAAGAACAAGAACACCACTACCACCAAACAACAATCACAAGAACAAGAACAACAACAACACCACTACCACCAAACAACAAGCACAAGAACAAGAACAATAACAAACAAGAACAAGAACAATAACAAGAACAAGAACAGAACAAGAACAACAACAACAACAACACTACCACAAAGCAACAAGAACAATAACAATAACCATAACAACAACACCACTACCACCAAACAACAGCACAAGAATAAGAACAAGAACAACAAGACCACTACCACCAAACAACAAGAACAATAATAAGAACAAGAACAAGAACAAGAACAACAACAAGAACAAGAACAATTACAATAACAAGAGCAACAACACCACTACCACCCAAACACAAGAACAGGAACAGTAACCAGAACACCGCTACCAACAATCAACAAGAACAAGAACAAGAAGAACACAACTACCAACAAACAACACAAACAAGAACAAAAACAAGAACACCACTACCACCAAACAGCAAGAACAAGAACAATAACAATAACAGGAACAAGAACAGGAACAAGCACACCACCACCACCACCGAAAAACAAGAAAAATAACAATAGCAATAACAATAAGAATAACACCACTACCAACAAACAACACGAACAAGAACAAAAACAAGAACACCACTACCACCAAGCAGCAAGAACAAGAACAAGAACAATAACAGGAACAAGAACAGGAACAAGCACACCACCACCACCACCACAGAAAAACAAGAATAATAACAAATAGCAATAACAATAAGAATAACACCACTACCAACAAACAACACGAACAAGAACAAGAACAACCACCAAACAACAAGAACAAGAACAAGAACAAGAACACCACTACCACCAAACAACAAGAACAAGAACAAGAAGAAAAAGAAGAACAAGAAGAACAAGAATAACAAGAAGAACAAGAAGAACAATAAGAACAAGAATAACAAGAATAACAAGAATAACAAGAAGAACAAGAAGAACAAGAAGAACAAGAAGAACAAGAAGAAGAAGAATAATAAAAAGAAGAAGAACAAGAACAAGAACAAGAACAAGAACAAGAACAACAACAACAAGAACAAGAACAAGAACAAGAACAAGAACAAGAACAACCACCACCACCACCAACAACAACAACAACACAAATTAGCAAAGCGAGCAAAGGGCGAGTTGCAGCCCAACAGGGCCAGGGCGTGTGCTTGGATCGCTCCATGGGCGCGGCGTCCCGGCGGGAGAACTGCAGCACCGACTTGGCGCCGAGGCCTCCGTTGGGGGGAGGGCGGCGTGGCTTTTTGGTTCCTGGCTTGCTGCTTCCGCTTGACGCACTGCTTGGAGGACTGTTCCTATCACAAACACAAACGAGTGTTGGCCCCAATGTTCTGTCACAACATGTTCGAGATGTGAACCGCGCGCGCGGAAGCTGATTCAATGCGGCGCATCTACTGCCAAGGTTGTTGCCACCAGGTTCACTGATCGCCTTTGGGCTTCAGAAGCATCAGGGTCTTCAGACTCAATGTTGTCAAGGCACTCGCCTTCGCGGCTCAAGCTTGCGTTTCCCCAAGGTTACCGGATTCTGCACGCCCACAGACGCTCGTTTAGCAGTCAGGTCCCGGAAGGAGGGGCCACGGCTAGCCAAGGTCGCGCCCCAGAACTCTAGGACTTCACGGGAGTTTTTCTTCACCTCTATTTGCCCTGCAATTAGCGCGCTGCCATCCATCTCTTCATGCTGTCGGTGCCAACACCCACTCGTGACCACAGCCTTGGGTGAGTCTGGCAACTCAAAAGGGTTTGAACGCGTGCGATTTGAGCGGCGGATGGCAGTGCCGACGCAGTCCACTGCCGTGTCGCCACCGCCGATCACCACCTGGGAGAACCAACAGAAAGGGAGGAAACGCCCAGACCCCCCCTCTTTTGCTTTCTCCCGGGTTCCTAAGATAAGAGGCCCCTGCGTGCCTCTCAAACAGATTGAACTCTGGTCGCCGTTACTTCTCGCTAGCGTCAATCAGTTCGGCTGCTGAACATTCAAGGCTGACTTCAACACATTCCAGAAAGTTTGACAACTTCCGAGCAAACCGTCCATGTGCAGGATGCTGAAAGTGAAACAACAGCAGTGCGATATGGAGCTGAATCTTTCAAGCTGCGGAAGGTGTGGAACCCTGGAAGCAATACGTCCCCAAGCATTGAAGTACTTCTTCTCGCGCGCCCATTGGACAAAACTCGTGTTGGTAATTTGACTGCTTGTGATTGACAGCCAACCTTCACGGGTGAGGTCGCAAACTCCGCGTTCTGAAGTTGCTGCATTTTGCTCACAAAGGATGAGCCCGTATACACAAACGCAACTTTTCTCTGACACGGTTTGCCTCTGGTCAGGCATGAGACAATGTCCCCGCACAGCAGAGCTCGCGGTTCTGGAGACTTGGCATTCCCCCGCAAACGGGCATGTGTCTCTCTTTCAATGCCCAAGGCGCCACACGCTTGTCCTGCACATCGAAGTTGAAGTGGTCGGTCTTCTTGAGGCCCATCTCATTGTCAAGGTTCTTTTTTTGTGTGGCCTTAGCAATCTGCACAACACGTCGCCCGCTGCTTTGAACAAACAGAACAAGATCTTGCCACTTCTCGCGCTCCCTCCAAAGCCCGGCAGCGCCTGTCTTCTGGAATTCCCTTTTCAAGGAGGCTTTGGGGGCCGGCACGTTAAACTTAACATTGAGGTTTGCGCGCGGCCGGCAACCTCCCACGGCCAGGCCGTGCTTGCTGTGTGAAACTTGCGTTCTGTGTCGCCTTTTGGCACGGGGGCCTTTCGCTTGCATATCGGCGCAGCGCTTGTGATTCGTCGTTCTGCCCAGTTGCTCTTGAGCTAGCAAGTGAGCGTGCGCGCGCGTGTCTGTTTCAGAGCAGCGGGCGTGTGTTATGTCAGTCAGTTTGCGCATGCGCGTGCGCGTGCGCGTGCGCGTGCGTGCACGTGCGCGTGCGCGTGCGCGTGTGCGCGCGTGCGTGCGTGCGTGCGTGCGTGCGTGCGTGCGTGCGTGCGTGCGTGCGTCCGTGTGTGTGTGTGGGTGTGCGTGCGCGTGCGCGTGTGCGTGTGCGTGTGGGTGTGTGTGTGTGTGTGTGTCAGGGTGCGCGTGAGCAAGCGTGTATGCGTTATGTGAGTGTGCAAGCGTATGGGGATGCAAGTGAAAGGGCGCACGTGCGCGAGTGTGTGGGCAACTGGGTGCGACTATGTGGGTGTGAAAGCGTCTGTCTGTTAACGTCTTGCCATGATTGAGTGAGTGGCTCTGTTGAAAAATGCTTCCGTGTTTACTTAGTGATATTGCGAGAGCACGCGCGCATCGATATTGCGAGTGCGAGAGCGCGCGTCTGTTTGTGTGTGCACTTGCGTGGGAGGCAGTGTGTTTGTGCGGTGGCGCAGCTGCATGAAAAAGTAGGCGCGGAAACGTGTAGGTGTTTACGTGCGCGTGCTAGTCGAAATTGCGTGGGACGTGTGGTTGGATGAGAGTTTGAGCCTGGGAGCATGGTACTGTCGTGCGTGCGTGCTTGCGTTTGTTCGTTCGTTTGTTTGTTTGTTTGTTTGTCTGTGTTCGTGTGTTTGTGCGTTCGCGTTTTTTGTGCGTTTGTGTATTGGTGTGCGTGTTGGTGTGTGTCTGTGGTGTGGTGTGTTGTGTGTGCGCGTTGCGTGGCGCACGGTGCGTGGTCTGCGTTGTGTTGCGTTGTGCGCCGCATGGCGCTGCTCCGGATTCAGCTGCGTTGCGCGTTGCGTACTGTTGCGTGCTACACTTTCCCTTGTGGGTGCGCGCGCGTTCTGCGTGTGGCATGGCAAGTCTTAGAAGTCTCAAATATACCCTGATGCCACTCTCTGCCCACGGAAGACCCACAAAGCACGGACTGATCATTTCTTTGTCCTGGGAGGTGACATTCGTGAGGCTGTGTCTGGTTGCTTGGCAGCTTGTCTAGAAACGTCAGCTGGTCACAATGAGTCGAAACAACTGTCCGTTTGTTCAATTTAGGTGACATGTATTCCGAGGGCAGCCGATGTTTTGTCTGCAAGCGCGAGAGCTGTCTGTCATGTGAACCACCAAACAGCTCAAGCAGCAAACCCCCCTTCCCCCCAACGATTTGCAAAAAGCACCCTCGCGCGGATGTGAATCGTTGAGCTGCCAATTCCTGGGCTTGGGGCGGGAAACAACTTCGAATAGCCAGCAATGTGAGACACAGATCCCCCCTCTTGGAAGAGAATACTGCGTAAGAGCCCAGCACAAGGCTGAAATTGGATCTTTAGAGGGTCTGGGCGTTGCAACGCTGAAGGGCAACAGCATGTTGTCAGGCCGACTTTCGACTGGAGCTTTTGGCGCACCAAACATCAATTGCGAGTATTGAGAACACGAACGGCCAGTGGACGTGCGGTCTGGGCATTTTTTGGTCTGCACATATTGCAATCGCTCCTGGTGGATGCCACGCCGGCGAGCCAAAATGCACACTGGAAAACCATCAAACACGCTGCACAAAACGGACCAAAGGTGGGAGATTCCCAGAAGTCCATCTGTTCTCTCTCGTCTCCTTCCCCAGTTCACATTCGAGGTGCTGTGAGGAAGTCCATGGCCTGCACGATGTTGCCCAGGTGCCGATTCTCCGTCGAGCGCATGTCACGCCACTGCGTGGCCCCGGTGGCCATGATCACCGCATCGTTCTGGTTGCAAAGGCTGCCTCGGATTTGGGGGCCAGATGCCCATGAGACGCCCAGGCTTGGATCAGCTGAGTTTCCCACGCGCATTTATCCCGCTGTTTAGCAAATAGAAGAACTAAGCACAAGTCCTCGCAACCGCAAATGTCTTGGTGCATGCCCGGAAGCCATTCAGGCATGGCGGCTGAATAAACAACACTCTCAAAACAAATGCATTGAAATGGTAGTGCACATCACATGCAACCCGGCCAACCAGCCAACCAAACACATCCATGGACAGACCTACCCCGCTTCCCACAACTCCCCGATGACTCCAATGCGCCCAGCGTGATGTCGCGGCCCAGCTCCGTGTTGCACTTGAAGGTGATGCCCTCCTACCGTGCAGCGAAGCGAGCCGTTCCAATATGGACTTCTGAGGGACACATCGAGCCCCAGCGCCCGCAAGAAAACGGTAAAGATCGCCATAGGGCCCTGCATTTCGGAAATCCGGTCAGTACAGAAGGGGGCGCCATGGGGGCTATTTTCAGCAGGTAAGAACAACAGGTAGGCCCAAGGGGGCTGGGGGTCTGCAAGCTTGTTTGTGGTTTCCTTGATGTTTTAGTTTTCCCGAGGTTCTTGTGGATTTCAACCCAAGTTGCAAAAAAACCCAAAGGGGTATGCTCAAAGGGGTTAGGGTGTGCAGTCTTGTTTCTGGTTTTCTTGATTTTGGGTTCTCCCGAGGTTTTTGTGGATTTCGGCCCAAGTTGCCAAACACCCCAAAGGAGTAGGCCGAAAGGGGTTCGGGTCTGCAATTTTGTTGTTTGGTTTTCTTGTTTGGTTGCTTCTCTCTAGTTTTTGTGAATTTCAAGCCCAAAAATGGCAAAAACCTCGAGAAAGCCAAACATAATCACAAAAACAACATAACACGAGTGCAGACCACAAGCGGGTAGGCTCAAGGGGTTAGGGTCTGTGATCCGTCTTTTTCCGTTTTCTTTATATCTTTTCCAGAGAAAACCACAAACACAAACAACCGCAGATTCCGTGGCTTAAGCGGCCCATGGGGTTTGCCCCTGCTGTGTAGTACTGGCACCACTGCCACATGTTTGACATAACTTGTTTTGTTTTCTTGCAACACGAGCGCTTCATTTGACGTAGAATTCATTCGATGTAGACATGCTTTAGTGAGAAACCGAGGGGTTACTTTGACCGGCAACAGTGGTTGTGTTGCCCCTCGGCCCTCGGAAAGACCACAGTATCCCGAATTTCAACATGTGTGTAATTTGTTGTGAATGCACTGGCGACCCACAAACTATTCACACCCCGCACGCAATACGCCTGATTCTGAGACATCTGCGCAGAGGCGTTGAAATTGTGGCTTGAAACAATTCATATTGGGTCTACCATTGCGCAAGCACACGCACTGCCGACTCCAATTTTATCTTGCAAAATCTCGAGTCGTGAGACGCTCAAAATTTACCTCGCTTCTGCAGTAGACGAATTCTTGCGGAATCTGGGCACGACCCATGGAGAAAAGCAGCACTGGGCACCGACGTTCCGGTAACGTTTTCCGCGTAAATCCCACAGCAAACACATCGGCACTGCCTAACCCGGTTGTCGGGGTGGAAGAGTGGCGCATCAGCTCTTCGCCCACTCAGCCGCGAAGGGCCCGGCCGATCCACGCCTTAACCGCGCTCTCAGGAAGAAGAACTTCCCAGCAGCGTGCCCTATGTGAGGGATGGGTATAGCAAGGGCCCCCCCATGCCTGGTCGTATTAGAGCATTCGCTCGAATAGGTCCGTTTTTCCGCTTGTCCGAATACCTGCTTTGAAGTTGGAATATGTGTGCAGGCAAGGAATAGAATACGCAAAGGGACATCGCGCGCAATGGTACTCTCGGGCCGTTGAACAGCACCGATTTTCTTGGTATTCTCGGTTCGTTAAGCCATCCCAATTTCCCTCCGCGCCCGCGCCATATGTAAATAGGCTGTTAAACTGTTCACCAGTACTCATCCCATCCACCGCGGTAACCCGACCAATACGTGTCACGTACGTCGGTGCGGTCCCGAACATCCCGTCGCCAAGGAGGCGCATGGCTTTTACCCTTGGTGCCCTTCCCTTTGCCTTTCTCCTTCTGCTTGCCCTTGTCGCCCTTACCTTTGCTTTTGCCCGACTATCCGGAAGAGGACCAAGCGTCACCGTCAGACGGGCTGATGGACCGGGGTTGCTCAGACCTTTCGTCCGCCTTCTTTCGTTCTGCCGAAGAGGGTCTAAGCACCCTTGGAGATTTGGATCTCTCTCCCTGTTGAGAAGCCTTAGGTTCGGTTTCATTGACCCGCCCTTTCTTTTTCTTCTGTTTCTCTCCGTAGTTGGGTTGGATCGTAGCCTCCCCATCAGCCAATGGGATCCGGGTCTGAATGGTCAGCCCCTGCTGCGATTCTCCCATTGCGTTCAAAGAAACGGCAGGAGGTCCTGGAATTTTGATTTGCCACCCGTTGCGTCGCACATCTATGCGAAGGGAACATATTTGCCACCCTTCACTCCATCGAGGTTCGATTGGAAGAACGGGTACTTCTCGACGTTGAAGTTGGTTCCAATCAAACATCTGACCCAGCACGTTTCTGCAACTCGGGTGTCTTGTACGTCCTGATAGCAGCATCCTTCAAATCCTTGACGTTTTTCAGAGGTTATCAATTTCGAAAATTTCCAAGAGAATCGGATAAAGTCCAGACAGAATAGTCCATCAAGTGGATGACGCCTTTCATGTCGACGTACTCCTCTATTGTTGTGTCATGAAACGTATGCGGCAGGTTGTCAGCGTTGAGTCCATTCCGTGTCTCAATCCAAATCGCCTCATCGACAGGCACATTTTTGGGACGTGAGTGCGACAGGCTCTCTGAATGCCCTTGATCCAGTCTTCCTTCCATTGCTCGACCACTTCTTTGTCGCCCGTCTCGTTGTCTGGTCCCCAGTACCGATGGAGGTTGTTCACAAGCTTTCCAAACAACTTGATGATGGCCATGTGGCCCGAGGTGGCCTCAACGAGCGGGTCCACGCATCTAGCCCTCCGGTCCGATCCCGGGCTCACGCCCCTTGTGTTCCAATTTCGTCGTCGTCGTCCTGGAAGATCTGGCCGGATTTGCCATACCCTTCTTTTGGCTTGGGCTGTTCGCGTAGTTCTTCGCCGCCCTCCTCATCAATTGCCCTCTTGGCGGCGTCTTTCGCAATTCTCTTGATCTCGTCGACGTCCACCGCTTCTGCTGCGTGCTCCAGGGACAGCGAAGTGAACCACTCCGTGAGAAATGAAATAGCCGTCGCACATCAGGCAATATGCGCAAGCGCTCGGTGTGCTATGCAAGCAGGAGGGACACGGCCTCACCTGCTTTGTTGAGGATAACGTAGTTCTTGAGATTGGTCACCACCTTCTCATACTTCTTGTTACCCTCCTCCGTGCCTCTGTCTCCAGCAGCGTAAGCAACAGCCCTTCAGCTCATGGACATCCTTCAACTTGGCCGGTGTACACTCCGAAGATCCTGCGAAGAGTGTGACCACATCCGTTAGTCTCTGCGTGTCCGCGGGTGTCCGTGAACTGGTACCTGGCACACGCCGACGGAATCTCCCACACAAATCCTTGAACGGAACTTTGGTCTTGGTAAGAATCGCACCGGTCTGGGCCGCGTATGCGCCGTAAGCAGTCAACGACTTGATAGGCGCGAACAGTATCATGATAAACGAATGACCACGGAATTGCTTGGCTCCCAGAACGCTCCTGTCATCCCACGGCGAATAGATGCTGAAGAAATTGTCGATACGTCCGTAGGGGCCGAAGGTCTTGAGGCTGTGCCTCATCGCATCCTCCAGCTCGCCGACGTGGATGACATAATAGCATCCCTTCGCGTATTCCGCACAACCTTCGTCAATCGGTCACAGGTGTTTGGCCGCGTTCTGGTAGATGAACGGAGTATGATTGTACGTCGCGCGCACCGCGATTCGAGCGCACAATCCGTAACATGAACTGAAGATCCAATCAAGCTCCGCCTTGTTCAGCCTGAACTCCTCTCCAAATCGTTCTCGGTCCTCGAGCTCCACCCTCCAACAGATAATCGAATACCTGGATGTCGAGTGTCGCCGGACCTCTTCCCGAAGCATGTCCACGCAAAATGCCGCCGCCCCCTCATCAGTCCTGGATTCATCGTCATTGAGGTGCTCCATTATGTGGTTGCAGCCAAGCAGTTTGGAAAACTTGACCCGCCCGACATCATCACACTGTAATCGCCTCCTTCCACGATCATCATCCGGATTGGTCGGCCTGCCAACCCTGCTTCGCAGATATTTGATCAGCTCCCTGGATAGACCAATGATCTGCTGATGTTCCATCTTCCTGATGGCGCTTTGGAAATCGCTGCGATCCGGTCCCATGGTCATGGTAGACACCGAATTCAGCATGATCCGCGGGCAATACGCAGAGTTTCGCGAACTCCTCGGTCACAGTGCTGTAATACATCGCGCTGCCATCCTTCCTCACCTTCTGCGTGAACTCGAAATCAGCTTTGTGACTAGGCATTGCCATCCTCCTTTTCCAGCTCATAGTGAACGACGTCACAACTTCTTCAGCGGGGTTTTCAAGGCAAGTCCTGCCGAGCCCACCGATCAAGGAGATTACCAGCTCCTTCATCATGATGGGGTGCTGTCTCCATCGGTTCATGCGCACGAGCTCGGGTTTGGGAGCGATCTTCGTTCTCTCCCACCGCTTGGGCGCCGGTCCTGCCTCCTTGGCTCTTTTCCCCTTCTTGGCAGGCTGTTCCTCCTTCGAGCCGCCGCCGCTGGCTGAAGATGACGATGCCTTCTTGCTGTCGCCGGATGGAATTTTCTTCTCTCCTTCCGCGATGTCCTTCAGCAGTGGAACCATTGTCTTTGCCTCCGGGTTCTGACAGTCCACGAGCTCCTGGTTGTTCGTCTGGCATACGGGACAATCATCGTGGGCAGGATGCCGTCAGCACACTCAGCAAGCTTCCGCTTCCTAGGCGTAAACGCCGCTGGCTCCGTCTCCATCTTGACGTCTTTGTCGCCGCTTGTCTCATCGGAATCAATTCTCGGTTCTGGTGATGTGCCATAGTCGGGATCAGGGGACAAGCCCTCAGTCTCTTCCAGGCCATCTTCTGCGTCAACCATGATGACATCATCATCTTTTTCAGTCTTCCCCAACTCCGGCATTTCACCGAAGAGCACGCTGAACGCGTCACGCTCGACGCGCTCTCTGCACGACAGTACATTCCTCCTTCATCATTTTCCGAGTGGAATACGGGTTCCGGCAACTTCTCAAACCATTCCATCACCCCAACATCGTGACCCCCCCTGCGTGAACATGGTCTGGAACTTGTGTCCTTCCGATTGCTAGGT